TTACGGAGATTAAAAGAAGGAAAATACGAGGAGGAAAACTTCACTGAAGTTCAGAAGCTAAATGGTCTTATAAACCTATGGATTAGACGTCTGAACTTAAAATTTACTCAGAAACTCAGGTCTTGTAAAAAACACTCGAGGAACGTGGAAACTATTTAAGGAACCTACAGGTGAAAGACGCGTTAGAAATGATAAACAGCTGAATGTTTGTAAATTAGAACAGTTTTTTGAACGCCAGGCATTTGACGTCATACTTCATTGGTCCACAGGTTTGAAGAATAGTTGTGCTGAAACTGAGGTCTAGAAATGCCTCCAGTCACCTAAATCGTCCCAATGTTTGGGACTTCATGAAATTCAAAACCTTCTTTTTAAGAATTGTGTTGACATTCCGTGTCATCTATTCACTAGTATCTTCAATATATTCTTCTCAACTAACCTCGTATCGAAAACATGTATAAAGATAAGGATAATCCCAATGACTAAGAACGTATCTGCCGAAAAGAATTTGAAGTTGAAACCCATAACAAAAACTTTGTAGTGGCACTGAGCCCTAGCCACATAATCCTCAAGCCTGAACACGAAGTAACTGGTAAAACAGGTATCCAACACTTAACACGGCGAGAAGACCAACATCGGAGATGGCGGGAAAAATTAATGCGATTCATCGGATGGCATGGTTCAGCCTTGCAGGCATGGTCGTTCTGCATGACTTATTTTTACTGATATTAAATATTATTATTATTCACAAACATCTTATGGGTACATAAGTGTTGTGAAGAAACCATTTCGGGTTTCTTCAAAAATGCAACAATACACAATTTTCAATAATGTCAGCGTTCTACTTGCCGTTTAAAAAAATTTTGAGCAATAATAGTAGAATATTAATAATAATAAATCGGGTCTGTGCAATTGAGAAGAATATTGAATTGAGTTTAAAGAAGGAAATGGAGAAAATAAGGGGATAGAAATAAAGGAGACGTGAAATACGCAAACAGTTTAATTGGAGTGTTTATGAACATAAAACAAGAACAAACGACTATGTATATTTCGTCAAATTAGTAACCAAAAAATACTTAAAAAAACAACTTATTATTGTAGTAAGATATGACGCTAGAATAAATGTTTGTGCAGTCATAGTTTGAAGTGATGAAATGAAAGTCTCAATTGAGTGAAAGGGATAATGAAATATCAATATGTATGAGTCATATATGCATAGTGAAGATAAAACGGGTCTGAGAAGTTAATTTAAGTGTAGCACAAGTTACTGTCTTAATTACAAACTTCGTAATCTTAAGAATATTTATTTAGAGGGAAAGAAGAAAGAAAAGAAGTAAACACCTAGTGAAAAGTTTCATCCATGATAAGAATAATAATCGCGTAATGAAAGAAACCAACAATTTAGAAAATTGAAATAAGAATGCTTTAATGCACTCAGTTGAATACATTTAGATTTATGTAATAGTATACAGAGTGAAACTGGATATTAGTACAAATATTTGTGCAATAATAATTAAGAATGATGCTTTGAAAGTCACAATTAATTTCAGAGGACAGCCAGGAATTAAATATGTTAAGAAGGACAAGAAGATATAAAAGGAATATCTAATGTGTCGGGGGAACAATAATGATATTAATAACAGTAATAATTATAGATACGAACATAAGCAGACTTCATATATTAAGATAAATAGAAATAAAATAGACGTGAAAAGATTTGAAGGTTTTATTTTGCTTTTCAGGCAATTAAATGGATGACTGAGTTTGTTTGTATAAATCATTGTTGAACACGTTGATATTCAATAGGTGGAATAATCCACTTTCGGAAAGAAATCATCAAGGAGACTTTTGAACCGGGTTGTAGTTTCACTGCAACGGAGGTTCACTGGCAGTCTGTTCCACATGGTTGAGTAGCGAATAAGGAAAAAATGTTCTATAATGTTCTATCTCCGGCCTAAATGTGTTCTCCGTTATATATTGGTAATTGTTACGATACGATGAATCAGTGAAGAAGATGATGTGATTTCCACGCAAGGTCTTATAGATTAGGCAGTGTCAACATGACAAATCTACAATTTTAGGATTAGGTCTATTATGCAAACAGTACTAATAACGAAGTAAACCGTGATCGTACAACTTCACCTTTTTCAAAAACGAAGGAAAAATTATTGCTACTCCCTCTTCAACATGAAGTAAAAGAGAACATTGATCCGTTTGTTTGCAAATGCAAAAGAAGCACCTTGTCTGCCACTGCTGTTCTGCATTAATATATTGTTCAGCTTGAAAAGGGTAAGAAGTATGTTCGATTCTGTTTTGTGAAATATACTTGTTTTTGACTCAATGTCGAGACGACTTCTGATTGATAAATTAGTCGGCCTCAACAATGACAGCCGGATAATCAACTGGCTATGTATCTACCTTTCTCGAAGGAAACAGTGTATTGTGTTTAGGGGAAAGTGTTTGGTGTCTCTGATGTCTCATGGTGTGCCACAAGGATTGTGCTTTTAATTCTGCTTTCCTATTCCTTTCTGCATGATCTGCATCTGCCTCGAGAAACACTTTTGTTAAATATACGAACGATCCCAACATATGTATGACGATATCTATTTCTTTCCATCCTCTTGAAATAAATGAGTTCTTGTCTCGTGTCGGACGGTGATCTGTTGTCAATGGTCTCACATTTGATCCATCTTAATTTCAAACTGTCACTTTTAGTTTCAGACATGAACTTCACTTAGACACCCTGTTGGAATGCCATAAAGTTTGTGGCATTGAAGATTCTTTGATTAACACAGTATCAAAAGTCATTTATCTTGGTGTAAGTTTTTTTTATCCCCCTTTGTTTTCTCATGTTTTAGTGTTACCGAAGAACGTTTTTCTTTCGACTTATTAAATAAAGAGCCTATATAATTTTGGAACTACTCGATATTTACCCTTACGATTTGTCAATTCTTGCATATTACTTATTGTTCCTCACAGTTCGCCATTATTCTTTCCCTTGTTTTTGAGAAAAGACATCTGTATCGTGGAGGAGGTTAAGGGTAAATAGCGGGATGGGTGTCTTGGATCATTGGAGATCAGTGATATGGTTGTGGTAGATACCTAAACTCTTGCGTATACTTCAAAGGCGTTGTCTTATCAGACACTAACTATCCGCTTCATACATGTCTTTCTATCTGTATATCTGTTGTAACTGCCTAATCTATAAGACCTTACGTGGAAATCACATCATCTTCTTCACTGATTCATCGTATCGTAACAATTACCAATATATAACGGAGAACACATTTAGGCAGGAGATAGAACATTATATTTAATATGAGTAAAAATAAGTCATACAGAACGACCATGCCTGCAAGGCTGAACCATGCCACTCGATTGAATTGAATGTTTCTGTGTTTTTCATTGTTAACCTCTTTGTGCCAAGTGTTGAATATAAATTGTTTCAGTAGTTATGTGCTCGGCTTCAAAGGTCGTGTGGTTACGATCCAACGCCACTACATATGTTTATCTCTACAGGTTCTGAACAGAACAGGTCTAATTACTGTAGGACTAGGAATGCTAGCAGAGAGTTGATAAGTAAAGCTCTACAATCGTATGAAAAATAATTGGTTGGGGTTTGTGAAATTAACCTGTAGAGGCCCTTATCTTATATAAGGAGTCACACTCAGTGAAGTCGCAGAATCTCACCACTTTTGGTGCAAGAATTGGTGCCTCGAAAGATGAAACTTTATCAGGAAATTTTAGTAAACTGTTTTCTACCAGCAATATAAAATGACCACCAGTTAGTCGTGACAATGGAAGCTCGTTGACTGACTCAGTGGTAAGTGGGGTAGAAACTGTCTCACGATTACTTCGACATCTCAAATCCAGTGGTCCTGACGATATTCATCCCAGAATTATGGAAATCCTGTTGGATGTAACTCTTGAACTTATGACCATACTATTTAATGTATCACTGAGGTGGACCAGACTACCAATCGGCTAGAATTATGAAATCATCGGTCCGGTGTATAAGGCCAGGAGCAGAGACTTATTCACTAACTATCAACCCACTAGTCTAACCAATGTAGCTGTCAAATTAATAGAAAAGATTATTCTGATGGCTATTCTAAACCATATGGATGGGGGAAAATCTTTTGTCCAAGGAACAACATGACTTTAGTAAATGACCTATCTTGCTTGATGAATCTACTCATTGCAAGAGAAGGCTGGGCTACAGCACAAGATAGGAATATTCATGTGGACGTAATATTCATAGATTCAAGACTTAAATTAAAACAGTAAAGTTTTGAGCTCCATAATGCGATCATAAACTCGATAAGTGACTTTTTCAGTGATATTGATGATGTCACAGGTATTCAGTGTTTGACAACGCTTCTACCAGTAACACCTTCTAATATGATTTATACCCACCGAGAGAAATCAGAAGACAGAGTCGAGGAGATCGGAAGAGTGTATTTGGCGATTACCAATATATCGGAATTCTCTTATCTAATCTGGCTAGCGATTGTGGTTGATGTGGAGCACGGCGTTACCACACGTGATCTGGTGCGGATGCCTGACCGAGCGCCTTCAGCTAGATGAGTCCACTAAAACACATGGTCAGCATCCAATGTCGAAAACTTACAGGGCTATTTATTTTGGGGATTTATTTACCGCTACAATATGAGACAACGGGCACGGGTAAATGAGGCTTTGTTATCATGGTAATCCATAAAATGTGGGGCTCCTCAAGGTACATCCCTCGATCCTCTTCTTTTTTTATTTGTGTAAATGACTTACCAACGGTGGGAAAGCTATCTTTTCTACTCTTTCCAGACGAGATAAAAATTAAGAGACCCGTTCACAGTATTTCGGATAGAATAACACTACCGGATGACCTAAATTCAGTGGTTGTTTTGGAGTGTGTTGATGCAACTAAATGACAGCGACGATTCATGTCACTACACAATATTTAAGGAAAACGAAAGTACAGAGAACAAACATCATCGTTCAAAAAGTTATTTGATATTGCAAGGACGGAGCGCCACATTCAACATTCCTACATACCTAGACGGCTTGCTTAAAACCTGTTGAATATTACGGGGGCTGATAAAAGTTGTTCGACCAACTATTAGTTTTTAAGTGTAAACAGTAAATTTACTTCATTAACGATATGAATCTTTTTGGGCGTAAGAAGGACCCAAAAGCTCAGTTAAATGAGATGACTTCTGTCTTGAAGAGACAGAAATATCCTCTTCAGAGAGACATTCAGACCCATCTGCGACAGCAAAAACAACTAGAAATGGCTATTAGGAAATGTGCTAAGGAATCTGACGTCCCTTCCGCCAAAGTTTACGCGAAAGAATATGCGGAATCTAAAAAAGCTGTTGCTCGTTTATATCTTGCATTATCGCAAATTGATTGTGTGGCTATGGAATTGCGTCATATGGCTTCAATGAATAAACTAACCAGTGGTATGCAAAAAAGTACAACAGTCATGAATGCTATGTCGTCTTTAGTGAAAGTAAGTTCTTTAAAAGTTAAAGTCATTTTTAACCTAGTGTGTAATATAGTCCACTACATATTAGAGGCAATTTTTTTTTACCTTTGAGTTCAAAATGCAACTAAACTCCTGGTTGGTGGGTTATTTATTTAATGTGATGTAGGAAGCGTAAGCATGGTTATTAAGATGTTTTTACCACTATAATCATTGGTCTTGACCCACTTAATTCTGTTCAGTCAGTCTTCTACAACGTAGGACCATACACATTTATGCATCAGTCCAAATTACCATACTTCATTAGCACAACAAGATGAACACCGGATTGGTAGAAGTAGTTAATTCAATGGTGGTAATATATAAAAGGAAGATTGCACTTAAAGGTATAGTACAGGAAGAAAGAATTAGTTGGTAGAAAGATAAAAAGCAATTTTAATCTCATAGTTTAAGGGAAGACAGAGAAAGTATACACCTGCACCATTGTGATCGATTCTGAGCCATGTCACCAAGAGTCTCCAACCACTAGTTACGATCGTCACGCGGACCCCGACCAAGTAGTCTGCATCTACCAACATGGCTCAGACTAGAAGTTAGTGACTTCAAGCACTGATGCCACGTTTTGGTTTGGCCACCCATAAATTTCTTCCAATCATCCCCAACACCAGTCAGCATTGCACGTCGTTGTAATCGGTGTCCAGGCATATGCAACACGTGGCCCAACCATCTCAGTCGATGAAGATTCACAACCTCATCAACTGATTGTTCATCATTCCCTAATACAGTGCGTCTAACTTCACTATTACTTACTCGGTGATTCCAGAAGATGTGAGCAATATTTCTAAGGCATCTGTAGTCAAATACTAGTAACTTACGAGTATCTTCTACTTTTAATGGTCACGTTTCGCAGCCGTAAAGTAGAACACGACGAACTGCCTCGCAGTATACTCGTCCCTTAATTGATAGACGGATATCTCACCTTCGCCATAGGTGACGTCAGTTGGCAAAAGCCAAGCGAGCTTTTCGAATCCGTGCTGAGATTTCGTCATACAGGGCTGATTAGTCACACGACATTTTAAGGTTAATTTTTGTGTTCCGTAATTTTTGAGACCCTACCGCCGGAGACGGGAATCCGTTGGATAAGACGAGGTGTGTATTTTTAGGGTCGACCTTTTATAACCCCACCCTTCTTTCGTGGGAAGACAGCATTGTCGTGATTCTGGTTTTCTGAGTGAAAAATCTTACTGCCATCATTCTTCTGTACAATCAGCAGTATGACTTCGCCCTCGGACCTTGGGTTTGTTGCTTTGAGTTTTACCGCTCCTCAACCGACCTGCCTGGTATGGTAGGACCTTGAGGAACGATTGTTCCAGCCAGTATATCAGATAGGCAAGTCTGATCACCTGGTCAAGGTAGCAGCAACGATCGGGTCTTCCTGTTCACAACTTGTTTGGTTGAATTTTGATTGTCGGAGGTATGTTCCTCGCAGTATTCCTTTCGCTTACTATACGTGTCAAAATTCCATTTGTTTTACAACTCACTTCATGATGCATTTTTTAATCCATAACATGTAGCTAATTTGCCGCCAACCAGCACCAGACTTCATGTTGCTACCATTTGATATTTTAGAATACGTTTTGTAGGTTGGTTAACCAGTATTAATCCATATATTATATGCATGAATATTAAGGTTGTTATTGAAAACCTTTAACCAATGATATGGATAAAATTCATTCTGATAATTGATTCCAGTTACTAAATAATCGATGGCAGTAACAGAATTTCAACTATGATGAAGTTGGGTAAAAATGGAGAGAAGGGACAGTCATGACAAAGACTACTTATTGCAATCATTCCCGATAAAAATTCGACATAACCTCTAGCTCATTCGGTAATGTTCGAATAAAGAGTCGGCAGAAAGTTGTACTTTGGTATATCTTTCAGTGACAAACTATTTTATTTTATTTTAACACATAGATATTGGTACAAGGAGGCACCAAATACATATGCGCCACACAATCTCATTTGATATGTGTAAGGGCTGTGATACTGCCCGGGTGCCCAAACCGAAGCAGGTCATTTTCTTAGGGAGCCACACCCGGAGCCTTCGACCTGAAGGTCTGATACACACGGCAGTGGAGCATCGTAGGGAGATGCAATCCCATGATAGCCAGTGACCAATGGTTGGTTCATATGCCATTTGTTCCTTCAGGATTCTGGAGCCTATATGCACCATTGGTTTGGAATCAGAGTTTTCCAACTCCCCTAGGTGGACTCACCGTGTCCACCGGCCCGGTTAGAGCGCCGGACATTCGCTTTCCGTCCTCTCAATCTCGTAAACAACATCCCCGCCACGAGACGGCAATGAGTAAGACTTCCTTGGCAGTGGCTGTATACACGTGAGAGCATTTATAAAGGGAGGGAGGACTCTCTCCACCCTAGGCTGTACCAGGGTATTTGGGGGCCTAGTTATTATTGCTAACAAATTCAGTGGCCAAATAAGTTCAAATTTTGCTGAACAGCGTTAATGGTGTATTTAGTATATCCTTGCAATTAGATATGTCATAGACTACTTGAATTTCTCATGATTGAATTTTGAGTAGGCATCTATTAGATCTAGAAGAAAACGTTAAAGTATTGGTTATTCGCTTCTTATCTGTCAGTAATGAACTTTAACTTCAGAACAATTTACTGAGGATAAAATAGGCTGTATGTACCAAAATAGTTAAATGATTTGAACAACATACTTATCTGGAGAATTTTATCCGACAGAGGTGTATCATTAATAGTCCTGGCTAGGGTGAGTATGAGTATACTATTCAATTCGTATAACTGTGCTGTTAAGGTATTTCAGTGTGTTTTACGCAAAACCAGTTGTGGGCAGATACAGTAAACAGACCGATTTGTGAAGTCAGTAAATTTAGGCAAGGGAATAGGAACAGTTTTATTTATAGAACGCTATGTAATGGTCCATCTATTGCAACCGCTATGCTTTGACAACACACGGATAAAGTTAGAAAGGAATAAAAACTCACGAAATCGGGAAATTGGCCATATGTAAGCAGACCTTCGATTTTGTGAGTCGGTATAAAATATCATCCCTCACTTCTTGATAATTCTTCCATCTCCACGACTAACCCATATATATCCTTAACACCAAACGCCATCAGTGATAATGATTCAAGTTCACGAAATGTTATTCCTCGTCTCCTGAAACCACGTTCTAAACTGCATGTTGGAGCTTTTGATGTTTAAACATTGTGTCAAATACGACAACGGGCTTCCTTAACAAGAACTGAAGAATCTCGTGTCGTCGATATATGGTGCGTCTCCGTAAAGCACATACAAGATCCAAGTACGGTCATTAATCTGACCTCACGTTGTCAACATAAAAAACCAGAGCGGTTTAATCTTCTTGTATCTATGTACTCCACTGCTACTTCCCATAGATCCTCTGGTGTAGGTACAGCATTAAGTTCGAAAGAGAAATAAGCTCTTCTGGACTGCTTGAGCACTGCCTGACTAAACGGGACAGTAAGATCTCCAGAAGATTGAGACATATGCCATTATCTTTTCGTTGTCTCTGCATACGCTCCCACTGAGCTTCAGCTTGGATGATAATAAATTTTATAGGAAGCTACCCAACCTCTGTCAAAAAGCGAAACGCTCTGATGTAGTGATAGTGGCAGATAATTTTGATTCCCAAGTAGGTAAACTTGACCAAACCGAAACGCACTTAGATTAATCTTGCAGTGTTGTGGCACACCAAATAAACAATTGTAACCGTCTGTCGCAATTATGCTCAGATAACCGTCTATTTCTAGCAAATACCAACTTTGAACATAAGAAAACACATCGTCTGGTATGGTGAACCTCACGGTCTACTCATCGATGTACTCAAACAAATCACATTGTCACTAGTCATCGTCGCGACCGTAGCTGCTACCTTGATGCGGTGGTCGGGCTTGCCTATCGTGATGACCCAACCGAGCTATATTGGCTGGAACATATGTTCCTGTAGGTCCTACAATGCCATGCAGGTTGATTGGAGAACGGTAAGACTAAAAGCAGCAACTCAAGGTCTGAGGGCGAAGTCGTACTGCTGACTGTAGAGGGGTGTGACAGCAGTAAGGTGTTTCCCTCGGATAACCAGCATCTGCAGTGATGCTGCCTTCTCACAAGGAAGGAAGGGGTTAGAAAAGGTCGACCCTAAAAATGTCACACCTCACCTTACCTCACGGATTTCCGTCTCCGGTGGTAAGGCCCTTCGAAGAACGGAGCTAACACATTAAAAACCTTCCACGAAAAGGCCGTGCGCGACCGGCCTCAAGCAGTTGTCCCTTGGGCACTGCGGTCACGCTCCCAGGTCGTTAAGACCAACATTAATCCAATTTCCTTTTCAGGTTCCTCAAGAAATACCCTTCCACGGTGTGGACAGCCGGGAAGTGACATCAGCTCTCATACCCGTAACAGCAGACGAGACGAAATTGGTTACACTCAAATCCTTCCTACACCTCCTAATATCTCTCTTATCTCCACGACTAACCCTTCTCACGCCTCTTTATCACCTCGCACCGCTAGGGCAAACGATTCGAGTACGCGGAACGTTATTCCTGGTCTCCTGAAACCACGCTCTAAACTACACGTAGGAGCTTTTAACGTACGAACACTTTGCCAAATAGGACAGCAGGCTTCCTTAGCTAAAACTTTAGAATCTCGCGCCATCGATGTGTGCTGCGTCTCCGAAACGCGCATACAGGATCCAAGTAGCGTCATTCATTTGACCTCACCATGCCAAAATAAAGAACCGACTCGATTTACGCTTCGTGTATCTGGAAGCCCTGATTCTGCTTCCCGTGGCCTCGCCGGCGTAGGTATAGCATTGAGTCCTAGGGCAGAACTAGCTCTCTTAGAGTGGATCCCAGTAGACAGTCGTTTGTGCGCTGTCCGACTGAACGGAACAGTAAGAATCCGGAAAGATAGGGACACTCGTCGTTGCCTCTTCGTCGTCTCTGCCTATTCTCCCACTGACTGCAGCTCAGATGATGTAAAAGATGAGTTTTACAGAAAGCTTTCGGACCTTCTCCGAAAAGCTAGGCGCTCGGATGTAGTAATAGTGGCCGGTGACTTTAATGCTCAAGTAGGTAAACTAAGCGATAGGGAAAGACACCTAGGTGGATCTTATGGTGTCGTGGCTCAAAGAACAGATAATGGCGACCGTCTGTTGCAGCTATGCTCAGATAACCGCCTGTTCCTTGCAAATACTAACTTTAAGCATAAGGAAAAACATCTTTTAACATGGCGACCCCCTAATTCGTCCCAACGTTGGACCCAAATAGATCACATCGCTATCAGCCACCGATGGAGGGGCTCGATAGAAGACTGTCGCTCATTCTGGAGCACATGCCTAGATTCAGATCATGCTCTAGTGCGAGCGCGTATTTGCTTGCGTCTTACTGGACGTAGGAAAGACGCTGCAAGGAAACCTCTTAGGGCCCTACTTAATGATAGTCAAGCTAAGAGTATATTTCAGGAACAACTAGGAAAACAGTTAGGCAGCCATGTATGTGATGCCCACCCCGATGCAGCATGGAATGATATCCGAAAAGCTGTGGAAACAGCAGTGATATCTGCTAGTAAGGTAAACCAGAAGGTTAGGGAGCAACACTGGATCTCAGCAGCATCTATCGCACTGATAGATGCTCGGAAACTCATTCCACCTGGCTCTGAACATAATGAAGAGCGGAGTCAGCTTAAGCACAAGCTGACAAGAAGTCTACGCAATGATCGTGAACAGTGATGGGTGAGACTTTGAATGATAAGGCTCAGGTGCATTCGTTCTTTGTCTTCCACCAAATTTTGATATTCCTAATTCTTCATAACGTTTTTTCTGTTTTATTCCACTAATTCATACTTTCTTAAATCGTATCTTCAACGCCTAATCATTTTAGTCATCACTGATTCAGTTACTAACTCTACTATTCTGGGATTTGGCCTAAAACTTTCATTCCTCTGTTAACGGTGTATGACAACTTGAACCAATGTATATATGTACCAAGTTTCGCGTTGTAACTGACGTGACTGAGTTTCTGTGATAGTTGATTCTTAATGATTTGGGAAATTATCCACATATTTTTGTATCTTTACCCATTTATAGTATAAAATATTTTCGTCCATTATAGTATTAATAGGGACGTAGTCAGAGAATCTATAAATCTTTTTTCATTTTATAGTTACCTGAACTTCAATCTACAATGCAAAATTTAAGTAAAGAAATGATGAAAGCTGGTATCATGGAAGAAATGATCAGTGACACTTTCGAACCAATCAGTTCTGTCGAAAATGCAGATGATTTGGTGTCTGCTGAAGTTGATAAAGTTTTATGGGATCTGACGGCTGGTCAGTTAGGTAAAGCTCCAGAGCCCGCATACGATCCATTCTCAGTTTCTAAAGCACAAACTGAACTCTCCGTTTTATCAGTTCAGGATGATGGTGAAACAGAAATGGATGCACGTTTGGCTGCCCTTCGCAGTTGAATATTTTTTGCCAATCTTTAATATCACATGGGCTTTCTAGTTATAAAATAACTTGAGTTTATTTTACACTGTACAGAAAAACAGTAATATTCATGATTCTATTCTTTGTATCCATGAGACAAGCTGTTGCTTAATTTTATTTGTACCTCAGGTTTCCAACTAAATATCAACAATATCTCAAGCTCGCAATATTTTTTCATTATAGAAGTGAGAAGATTGAGGTTTTTTGCACATGTCTATATCTAAAGTAACTCGGACTTTACTTTTATTTCCGTGTTTTTCCGTACTAAAAAAACCAATCAGTTTCAGTATAACATTGCTCTTATTTTATAGTAATATTAATTTGTACACATACCTTGGTAATTAATTACTTATATTTGATTTCCAATAAGAATATTCTTATGGAAAACATTTTCACTCTGACTGATTTCCGTTAAGTGTTACTTTATTTTCCTTAATAAACGTAAAATTACTATCAGGTAGTTAACCAATGGTTTAGATCATATCAGCTACCGGTAAAGCTTCTATCATTTTGGCGATGCGTGAATATTATGAGGATCGGACTGGAATTCTCATGCTGTTATGTCTAATCTATATCAGTCTTAAAATCCTTGTGAAACCTTGTTAAGTTTCTGGGCTTATTTTTACTGTCAGCTGTTTCTGTACGAATGTACCGATCTAATTTTGTTAACTTTGGTGTCCTATTTACATGAAGTTGGCCAAGATATGCTTCCAGGTCCTGGGATATTGGAAAGCTGACTCAAAAAAATGCACGAATAAGATCTATCATAGCATAAACTTCACTGATCACGTTTCCTAGAAATTATGCTTTATCATTCTGAAAAAGAATAGGGGGCAGTTTTATTTCAGGATTCATGTTACTTTAAATAAGGTTTCTTTGAGCAAGAATGAAACTATCATATCCAGTGCAACGTTAATAGTGCAATACCGTGCTATTGACCATCCTACCAGTTTGAGCTGATTCACAGATCCTTTTTAATTAAGAGTTAAGGTCCAGTTTACCTCCTGAAAATTAATTAGGATCCACGTAAAAGAAACGGTTGTTATATTGATTCTGAAATTTGAGGTGTTTGAATTTACTTTGGTTAGCGCCTATTTTTCAGATTGCACTGTCTAGTTAATCTGCACGATTTTTAGTGATTATTTCTATATACACATCTCAAGAAAATAACATTATTATTCATGGTAGTATTTAGCATGAACTTTTGTCAAGTTCTCACTAATTGTTTCACAAATATTGTGTTAGGGGTACGGAAATTATTATTCACAAAATCCTCAATAATTAAAATGAAATTACTCGTAAATTATTTGATAATCCAATCCAAGCTTATTTGGGGTAATAGTCAATATTATTGAAGATGTATGAAATGCAAAACAATTCTAAACTGGGTAGTTCCCCAATTATTTTATGATGCTAGTTCTGCTTTTAATATAAATATTAGTCATTTAATACCAAAATTATTCGTTTCGTGGGTTGTGATTTAGTGTCGCGTTTTAGTTTAATCTTACTCTAACAAATATTTTTTGCTCGAGGACCATGACCAGGGTCATACTAGTCATTAGTAGTTACCTGCATACATAAAATTGGAAATGTGATAAGAACTAAATAAATTTTGTTTGAATGTGTACTAATTGATAGCATAACTGTCTGTGTATGGTTTGTTATTTTTATCAGAAGTATTATTGATATCTTATGTCTATTAATAGTAAGTTACGTAGTAAAAATACTGCAGAAAAATATAACGGAATTGCTTTAGGCTGAGTTTATACAAAAAAAATCACAGGATTACGTATGATGCATCAATCAATAATCATAGTGAATAAAATCTGGTACTTATATCATATGATTGAGAATATCGATGTTTATAATTCATTTTATGAAATTGCCATTAGGTGCTTAAACTTGAAATTGTATATCATTATTAACTGTAATTGATTACTATACACTTCAAAAGAACATTCGTAAAGCTATAGATCAATCCATTATTCTTGCAGGAAAAGTCATTGTATTGCTTATTACAAGCTGATCACTTTTTTGCAATATTCTGTAGTAAATTTTTTTGTAAAGCAGTTGAACAGGTTCATATTGATAAAAAATAAACATCTTGATTCCTATTGGGTTATGAACCATATCTATTGTATGAGGATCATAATTCAGATTAATTCCCTGACAAAAATTGACGAATTGGGTTAAATTTAGTTGCCACATCCCTACGGTTTTCTTCATACCTTATAATATACAAGTAAATAGTTGTAGTAAATTTATTCATTCATATCATTCTCTTACCTAAATTACTTTAGAATATTTATTTATTTGAACACATAAACAGTGGTACAAGGGGTCACTAGAATGTATATGTGGCACACAATAAAAATGAGGTGTTGTAGAGAGAGGTAGAAAAGAAGGTTAGTATAATAAAAAAGAACAACAATTAACATAAATTATTGTATGAAAGTGAAATAATAATGACAGGAACAGTTCAGTTAGGAAGAAAGTTACAGCACGATCGCCACTGTGTTGCACCATCTCCAGGACCCTAACCAGGGCGTGATGCAGTCGTAGCGAATGCTCATCTACACTTTCCAGTGGGTTGATAGCTAACCTTGCACCTAACTCGGCTTGATCTGTAGTTGTAACAGAAGCTGCAACTAATTTGTGGACATCAATCTGTTTAGGACGATTAATTTGTTGGCCACTGAAACGTAAGATAAGATTAGAGCAAACGAGGGCCTGACCAGAGTCCATAAAAGTATTCCAAAAGGAGCTGAAGGTTTGTACACAACCACGCTGCAATCTGTCAGAGCGTAGTCGGAGACATCGTTCCTAACTTTGATGGAGCTTTCTAACATAAGAGCACATATTCCACTACTAAGCGTGGTCCAATCGGTTACTGCTGCCTTAGCTCTGGCACTTAGTGCGACACCAACGCCAACAAAACCAGATGAAGATGCCACAGGATCCTTGGATGAACACATGAAACAAGCTTTTCGAAGAGACTGATGGAGAGTGGATTTGTACTATTTCACTAGAGCCTAGTCTCGGATCTGCATTAGTATGCGAACGTTGAAGGCAGCCATTTTGAATGGTATACTTCGTTTCAGAAAGACTTCCAGTAATTGTTTTCGGTGATAGCATCCAACTTTCGACCAGTTGGTGACCCGAGATCGTTTAGATAGATCAGAGCTTCCACCATAGGCGAGCTGCTATAGGAGTTGAATAATAAAGGGGTCTCTGTAGTGTATTTAAGGATGTTGTTTTTTCCCTTGTGTATATTGGGATCTACTGATGCAGTGGCTTCTGCTACGGTGGTTGTCTTGACCTGCACTGCTCATGTGTATGATATAGGTTGGCTAAGTGATCTGAGAAGTCCAAATTGTCTAGTTGCATGCAAGCTGTCCATTGTACTCCGTGCTTCCCCTCAGATGTCGAGGTCTTCACAATCAAGTCATGTTTCCTTTCTTTGGTATCTTCATGAGATATCCTTCTCTCCAGCTAAGACTTAAGTGGGTCGTAAACATTAGTTTAAAGTTTTATTGCTACACAAATTTTCAATCAAATTAATATTAGATCAAAAAGAATATAGTAATATGAAATTGTATTGAACATGGACAGTAGAATTTCATCAAAAGTTCCAATCACTAGAAGTCTTCATTTAAACAGTTAACTAAGCTGGTAAACGAAATACATTCATTGAAAGAAAATAAGAAACATTATTTCAGTGAAGTGTTCTCTTTTCGACGAATTCATTTTCAAAGCTGTACAATGCCAGATATATACTTTTTTCAAAATGAGACTAATTAGGATAAGTGACGATAGAATTCTGCTAAACATGGTTCACTTCATAAAAATAACGTTTTTATATCTTTATTTATTTTACTTCACTGTTACCATGTTTAGCAAAATTTTATTATTACTTATTGTCATTATTATCATTTCTAAAAATAAGTATGTAGTTGTGATTGTACAGCTTTGAAAATGAATTCACCGAAAACAGAACTAAATTGGTGTTTCATCAATTTGTTATTCCTTCGAAATTCTTAAACAAATATTTGATATTCTTCGTATTTCAACTTCTAATTAAAATAGAATCTCCATCTTCATTTGTTATTATTATTTTGTCATCTTTAACTTTATTACATATGGACTAGTGTGAGTTATTTTGCATTTGATACAACAAGATTGTATATGCATTACAACTAGATCTAAATTCATTAGAATATGCACTTCATTTACAACTACAAAGATAATCATTATTTTCATAATACCAATCATCATTGGTTAAAAAAATTAGCATAGACTTGATAAGTCATAAAATAGTTACCATATTTATTAAATATCACTGTTATGGCAAAATCACTTAAAAAGAACTTCTAAACCGTTATACTAGACCGACAAGAGTTAACTTACTGAAACACTGTGTCGAGACTACTTGAAATTGCAATGGAGTACTTTGTATCTGACTAGGAGTACTAAATAAATACAAGGAATGAAGTCCATAATCTTATATAAAATAAAATGAAAGGTTAGAAATCCTAAACTTTTTGTGAAAATATTACATCTTAGTTGACGTTATGAATGATTGATATTCGCTAAAGCAACTCATTTTCCAAGTACAGATTTATTCACTTGACTATGATTCACATTTTATATTTGGGGGCTAGTTATATTATGAGACTGCTTAAACCAAAGTAGGTGAAGAGAAGTTTTAACTTAATACCAAGTGGTTGAATCAATAGTCACTTTAACCTAACAGTCAAACCATTCAAGCAAATATACAAGTATCTGTAACAATCATTTGATTTAAAAACATTGGTCATTATTACAATATGGAAAGTATTTCAAAGGATTGTTTTATTTTCTAAACGGATAAACTATATATGAAACTATCATTAAATGCTTCTAATCGAATATATTGAGTCAGATGATCTGACCTATCTATTCAATTTACGTCGTCTTAGGATAGTTTTTAATCAACGGATAGAACATATAATCATCTGACTTCAATATGTAAGCAATTAAGGTAGTGTTTATAAAAATGAATGCCAAACATTTAACTGAATTCTTACGTACCCAAATCTCCCTCATCAATAAAACTGTGAAAGCATTTCAGATTTGTATTAATGTATTTGTATTAAAGCTTATAACTATTTTCACTAAATCAATAATATTTTAATTAAACTGTATTCTAATTAACAGTTTCTATTCAAATTCTTTAGAAAATAAAAGGCATAAAAAACCAATAAATTCCAATCAGTATTTATGCAATTAGACTGTAGGGCTAGTAACTAAATTCGTAGTATGAAAGATTAATGATTGTACGACATATATATATATATCTTAGAACCACGTTCACTTCGAGAATATGAGCACATTATTGTTACATATAGAGAACCCTACTTTTATGTCTGGCGTGTCGTGGCTGTTGTGTACGTATCAGCTGTTGGATCCACAGTCTCACTGTTTATAATCAAAAGTCAGGAAACACTGGAATTCCTTGATACTACTATGGTGTGTGCTACTGTTGTTGATGGATATACTTAGTATGTATCAACAATCGAAAGTGAAACACCTAGCAGTAGAAGGTTAGGAATATCAAAGAAAAGAGAACAAAAACAGAGAACAATTGCTGTGGAAATGAAGGAACACTAAAGTCTGAGACGATTGATTGAAATTTGCAAAAGAAACAGTCAATTTTGAGACAATTGATTGACA